CTAAGGCAGAAATCTTAGCCGCACAGATGCAGAAGGCTGTCATTCTTGACTCACTGCTCTTGCTCAGGGCACATGATTCTCGGACCCAGTGATCACTTATCCCACGGTGTGGGGGATTGGTCATTTGTTGATAATGCTGCCGCGCCCTCCCGATGTATCGGGGCTTCGGGGGATATGGCCTGATCAGCGCAGAATACGGTGAAAAAAAATAGTCTTCATTACTACAACCACACAAAAAAACAATATTAAGTTCTAACTACATATATAAAGTTATCGTACAAGGCGAAGTTAAATTTTCGCAGCTATGCAAATAACTGCTAAATTGTTCTTCCACTCAACCTAACCTTTCACTTAACATTCTCAAATGGAGGCAAAGATATCGTTTTAAATGTTTTTGCTGTCCCGAAAGTCGAAATGTTCATGGTATAATAGTTGTTTTTCAGGGAAATCATAATTTTTCAATCGATCCGCTGCTGTGTAATAAAAGGCAAACTCATAAGTTCACCCCGAAAAGTAATATAAACTACCGAAGAGTCCTTGTTAGTTGGTATTTTCAGATAGGTTGTTTTTGTTTCTTATTTTTTCAGGGTTATATCCTTTCACGAACTGAAAAATAAATGAGGTAAATCAATATTGAATATGCTGAAGTGTAATAAAGGGCGAACGAAAATAAATATAGGATAAGGAAAATAACTTTTACCTAATTTTTACTCAAATTATCATTTGTTACGATTGGCTTCGGTTTGTCAAAACATTCTCCAGTAAACTATGGTTCGCCGAACTGAAACGTTCACCCCCAAAAGTTATTGCGCAGAATGAACCACTGAAAAGTTGAAATAGTCAGTAGATAACTTGTTGTTTTCTTGAATTTTGCCTACAAAATGAATAATAAAAAAACTTTTATAATACATTTTGCTTATGAAAAGAATAATAAAGAAACAGTGGTAGGTCGGTAGCCAAGCGGTTCGGCGTGGGTGCTTTGTTCACTCACTCGAATTGACTGCCGTGTTGGTCGGTGGTTCAAGCCCTAGTCTGAACGATCGATCTTCACTTGCTATCGTTCAACCCGTGTTAGGAATCACACGTTAAAAGGTAAGACCTCGTTAATCCTTAGCTCGCACAAGCTTAGACTTCTGAGGGTTGTCGTTCACAGGGGTGCGACAGCTGGTTAACGGAAAAACAGAAACAGATACAGAACAGATACTTAACTCCTTTCAGATTTTTTTTCAAGGACAAAACACAAGCACTACAGGATTATCCTTGAGACGCTCTAAGAGTGGTGCCAATGCGAAAGTAGTAACTCACGTTGGATTCGAATCGCTGGAGAATAAACTCATTCGGAAAAACTTTCTTAGAAAGATAAGCAGCCACAATCCATCGCGTATTTCTGATATGTACCGCTCTTGGTGGATTAAAATGTGGCAACTCACTGGAACACCTCCCGTGAAAGTATATATAAAAGAGAGACAAATCTCCAACGTTTTTTCAATGTTTCAGACTATGACCAAGCTTTTGAGAAGCAGCCTTTGCAATTCTAGCGACATGATGGTGTCCATTTTAACCTCCAACAAACTCATCGAAGCAGAAAGCGGAATTGTTTGTCCCAACATTATTATATCCAGTTCGGAGACATTTATTTTTTTAGAGAAAACCCGATGTCTGGGTTTTTGTGGCATTGAACCTGGTTACTTTCACCCCAATTCGAAATTACCTCTAGACCCTCATTAAGATATGCAACCTCCTGCTGCCGGTGAAGATGTGCCTCCGTAGCCGACGTCTTGGAATCCAAATGGAATGACGAAACAAGTGTGCTGTCGTCAGCAAAGCAATATATTGGATTCATGGTTGATATACAATAAAAAGAGGGTTAGAGACAATATGGATCCCTGGAAAACACCAGCGTTGATGGTGAAAGTATTCGACTGCCACTTGCAGGGAACGTTCTTTCAGGAAGCTGGAGAGCCATACACAAAAATGATCTGATAAACCATAGCATAGCAGTTTGGCCAGCAAACCCTCAGGCCACACACGGTCGAATGTTTGAGAAATATCAAACGCAACAGCTCTTGACTCTCCATGTTTCTCGATTGCGTTATTCCAAATATAGATGACATACAATAGAAGGTCGCATGTTGGTCTTTGTTTCCGAAAGTATATTGATGATCACTCACGATGTTAAAGCTTTCCAAATATTCAAGGATATGGTGGTTTACAGCTTTCTCCATGATTTTTCATTTCACTGATACCAAAGCGACTGATCTATAGTGATTTGGAAAATTTTTTTGCGCTTTTTGGTAATAGGCTGAACGCAAGCAATCTTCCAACAAGAAGGAAAAGTTGAATGGTACTGGCCGATACATGATGAAAATCCATTTTGAAACCCATTTTCACTATAGTGAATATCATACAATAAACGGTATTGATGAGTTTCAAGAAGGAAAAACCCCTTCCGAGTTCTTTTGCGCACTTTTTGAGTACTAAGATTGGCACTTCATCAGGACCAGCCTAGATCAGATATTAGGTGGTATCGATTTTAAATAAAATAAGTACTTCCTAACAATCATAAAAAAAATCCCTTTTGCATTGACAATGACGGATATATTTCATAGTTCTAAAAATTTCTTCGATCTCAGAAATGTAGAATACTGATGATACAACCTTCTAATGTTATTGAAGAGTCAAAAAAGTATCGTACTCACATTTTTTCAATTCGATAGGATATGTTTATGCAATAAAGTCAATAATTCAAGATATTCATTGTGTTGAATATTCTTCTGAAGCGCTGAGTATCGAAAAATCAATATTGTTGTTGTTATGATAGGCGCCACTAAGCATGTTTGTTTATAGGATTTTTTATCGACAAACTGCATCAAGGCCAACATAACGATCACTAAGGAAATAGGTAATCAAAGTATATTCACGTATTTATGTATGATAATTAATCTTAAATATTTGGGGTAGACTAAATATTTCAATAGAGAAAATGAGTGTACTTCATCCCATGTTTTAGTGGGCTAGTTTTCAAGGTCGAAAATATTTTAGGGAAAACTAAGAAATCAATTTTGCAAGACTGTACCACATCGTAGATGGAAAATGCCTACCGATATATGCATCAGCTCACAACATTATTGCAACATAATCATATTTTTTTAAAGAATTATTTTGAACACTTCACCTATAAGTTTTTTCTTGAGAAAATGGAAATAAAGTAATTCGGTCCAGAATAACATTATGAGATTAAATTATATAAGTTCTAGCCTTATTCGTTCACTCTGCATGACAGTAACAATGTTGTAGTATAATATCCAGTTGTACAACACCAAAGACTCAAGAAAGTTTCTTCACAATTAAAGAAAAGGTAAAGATCAGAAAAATATGTACTTCTAGCCGAGTTGGACTCATTTGCCTATGCGATAATGAGGTGATTTGTTTCACTTTTTCTCAAATAAACTACGTATTCGTCTGATGTCATCCTACAACTCTAAAAATGAATTTTAATGAAACAAACCTAACAGAAAGAGAGCTAGAGGATTATCAAATTTCTGGGTCTTTCTCAAAGACTTATCTCTGAAGAGGGTAGGAAACGGTTTATCTATCAAAATCGGGTTCCTCGTGGTTTGATTAGGCAAAAACTAGAATTTCCAGGGCTAATTTACAAGATAGCCGGAATGTTATTTCCACTCAATTCAAGAAGGGCAATTATCAACTTCAACAGGAAGAAAAATTCAAATCCAAAACTGGGTCGAACTGAGGCCTTCTGTTTAAAGAGAATCGTGCTTGGTTTGACCAATCGAATCGAAGTCACATAAATCATAGGAGAAATGAAAAGTAAGAGATTCAAAATTCCACATGAACTGGGAGCTGGCAACTAACAATACACAAAAGTGTTCGAATGATGTCCTGTAGAAGTTGTGACTACATTTGAATTTATTCCAATAATAAACAGAAGATAATATTACGAAACTTAGTTAGATGAAAGGATAATTCTAGTGTTACAGATAGATCCTGAAAACACAATAACAATACAATATTACTTCTAAGAAAACAGGAAATTCATAAATATGTTAATTATTGACATTTTATGAAAACAAGTTCAATAATGGTGAATGAATCATTTCTTGTTGGTCGTTTGAAAGAAAATCTGAATGTTGGCGTTTATTGATTCCCAAGTATTCAGCAGGTTCATTTTTTGACCTCAATATTCTGTATTCAATATGTCGTAGTTCATGTTGAAATGGTGGTTGTTCTCCGGAAGGTGGCAAGCATAGTAGGTTTTGGTTAGTTCAAAACTTCAAAATTCTCGTTTTGAAATAGATTTTGGGCAAGTTAGTGTGTAGACCGAGATCGGAAATAGAATCAGAATAAGATCAGTTAGAATCTTCGAGATCGGCATCAGAATGAGATCCCACTTTCTGTCTCTCTTTCCAGCTTCCACTACAAAAAAACGACAAAAATATGATGAAATAAACAAAAATCGTAGCAGATATGATACAGAATTAGACCTCTATTGTCAAGAATAACCAAGGGTCTCAAAAACTGTCAGTTACAAAGACTAGCTCCGACCATATAATGGAATCTCACTTTCTGTCTCTTTCCAGGTTTCACTACAAAGAACACAACAATTATGATAAATAAAACCAAAAGCGTTGCAGAAATAGTACCAAATTAAACTCAAACCTCTATTATCAAACATAACTATGGAGACAAAAATAACTTTTTTTTTTCTATACAACTTTTTCTGGCGAAAAAACTGGAAAATACTACTCCTTAATCATCAGATCAATGAATGCACCTCTGAGCATTGAGCAATACCAATGACGTTTATAACTTCGTCAAAAAGTGCCATACAATAATTAAGGTTCATTATCAAGCATCAATCGAATCTAGAAATGTAGGCTTTCACGGCTCGTCAATATATTGGTTGGTTTTCGGATTTTGCCGTGGTCTTCATTTTAGAAACAAGTGCATACATCACTTTCATGCAAATATTTTTTTTTCAGATGGCTCTTCTGCAAATGGTATCGGAAATCAAGGATATCCCAATGCATATGGTTATGGCTATTCAGGTAGTTTCTCAGGTGGTGTTCCACAACACGTTCCCATTCCGTTCTTTGATTTTTCAGGATTCTTGAACAATTATTTGAATTCCATGTATAGGCAACATCAAGAATTCTTGAGGGCGTAAGTACTGATTACAAGAATTATAGTCTCTGATAATTATTGATGATACGATATGGGTTTTTCCATTAAATATGTTGAATGAAATAAGGGCGAATTATTCTGGTTGAACATATCTGCTTTCAGATTCGAAAATCAAAAGAGTATAACCAATAGCTAGTTCATTCAGTTGGCGTAAGCTTCTGTATTTATGCATATTTCTTGGAAGTGTGGGTCAGTTATTTTCTTCCCCTCACTAAAAGAAGATTTTCGCAATTCCTTACTCAGAAATTCTAGAAAATCCCATTTATGTTTGTTTTGCAGTTTTGTCTGTTATCCAGTAAAGAATTATTTCCCGTTCAAAGCGGAAAGGGAAGTAACCGGTCTCAATATTACATAAAAGATACTTCACTGAGTCTTGGAGTCTTTCAGATTTTAAGTGATGAAACTCTAGTTAACTATTGTCAGTCTTGCGGGATTCTACCAGGATTTGAGTTATACTGAATCATAAAACTGGGGGAAAACATTTTGAGACGAAAAATGACTATTGTAGTCGGTGCCAGTAAAGCATCAAACTTTGATGACTTATATTTGGTAGATATATTTTTCAACTCTTTGCACCGACTTAAAAAATGTAGGTACGTAGGCTGGTAATATTTTATTAAGTTACTTTTCTTTTTGTGATTTCAGTTAGCCCACATCCAATAGCATAGCGATCAAAATTATTGATTTTTCAGTTCTCGAGCAGAAATCAATATGAGTGTGATGACTGTAATTTCATTTGAAAGTCATCAGACTGATGATAATTAGGATTTGTTTTTGAAATAGAGCTGTTCAACTGCAGTTAACAGATCTTGTACTTTGAAAATACTGTAATAGGCACACCTCTAGGTGCTGGTGCATACACAGTTGCAGATCCAGTACAAAGGTATCAACCTACCTAGGGTTTCACGAAATCGTATTCCAAGCGGAATACATGGAGAGATTGAGAGAGTTCCACCTCATAAATAAGACAAAAAGACCGACCTGGGAGCTCTTGTTTTTCACCGAGCAAAGTGTAAGTTGGTAGGACACTGCCAGAAAAGACTCTCCTCGACAGTAAGACTCCACAAATTCTCTCTGTTCTGAATTTTTAGCCACACTGTGCTGTAAGCTGCTGACACTCTTGCAAGCAGTTTCATTGGTCCATAACTGATCATTGGCATCGCTTTAGACTTTTCCAATGAAACACTGGACTGCAAGAAGCGTTTCAGACAGGTCTACTCACAGTTACTGTTGAATCATCATATGGAAAGAGAGACTTGAACTGTCGGAAGACAGTGCGTGTTGTCTCTGTTTGGAGACTAAAAAAAACGCCCCAAACCGAACCATGTTTTCAGAGTTTGGCAAATTTTTATTCCTGCCATCTGACCTGGAAAATCACTCACCATATAATCAAATGGGTTCTGTTAAGAAGCTGAATTAATTCATTTGGATGAGTTTGAATAGGTATGAGCTACAATAAACCCTTGAGGGTAACAGTGAAGTGGCGAAGAGACTCATTTACTTTGAAGCTAACTCAACCCAACCTTTACAGAGCTCATAATCTTACTCCATTTCGAAAATTGAAACCATAATAACCCCATTTGTAGAGAAATGATCCTACTCGTAGTTAGATATTATTAATTATTATTATTAAATTAATACTCAATGCTAGAATTGAAGCCTAATTTCTATAGTGGAATCAGTATATCCTTGAAAATGAAAAACCCATTTCGTTTCGATCAGTGAGAAGACAACTTATCTTTGATTATAGTATTAATGTTTTCTTCAGTATTGTGCTTTCTCTATAGTGGTGGTGGACTATTTTCGTATTCGTATGCTTCCTCCAGTCCTAATGGTAATGCTATCGCTTCTTCTTCTATAACATTTAACCGAAATGGGTATGTAAATATTAACTGGAAAATAAGACCAATCTGTCAGTTTCGAGTTCTTTGTAAATATTTTTATTCAGCATCCAAAACCAAGCACAAGCTGGTTTTATCCAGCCAAATGGATTAAACACAAGATCTGGATTTGGAAACTCTTATGGAACTTCATATAGTGGTTCCTTTGGAACTGGAACAAACGGAGGAGGCGGTGCAGCATTCAGTGGGTTTCCTGGACCCGATGCTGGAGCGTTTGTGTTTCCAGATATATCAGCAGGTGGTTCTTTTGGTCCAGATTCAGGTGCAGCTTTTGCATCTGGATCTGTTGGTCCTGGTGGGATCCATCAGACTGCATCGGTATTTCCAGAAAATCCGGTAAGTTTTTTTGTCACAACTCAGTAGTATAAGTCTCAACATTACATCAATTGAGTTAATCAACAGCATTATAATGCCTTCAAGTTGTGAATAATCAATATTGAAGCACAATTTACGTTTTTCATTCAATAAACCGGTAATATTTTCCCTAAGTTTCCAGTGTCACTTCCACACGTATTTTGATTTCATTTAATAATAATAATAATAATACCGTCTTTATTATCTTCTAATACATTCAAATTAAATTAATCATGTACAGTTCATTTATTATAAGAAGACAAAAGGCGAAGTTCAATTTACATGATGACAAGTCATCATTAAATTGCCCTTCCACTTAACCTGAAAAATGTCGCTTAGTACGCAAAGGAATAAACAAAAAGAATTTTCAAATATCTTGAAATATTATGACTATTTATAAATTTGTAATTTGATGTCTTATCAATAACACATTCTGGGAACTTTACATTCCAGTCACTCTCATGCACATGCATAAACTTCATATCACAAGTGATTGAAATATATTAGCTGATTATTTCTACGATAATTTACTACACCCCATGATGCCGACAGGCGTCAGTCCAGGAATCTTCACAGAAAATTTCCTGCATATGCAATGGACTATACAACTGAAAGAGTTGACCCTCAATTTTGAAACGGGCACACTTGCAGACCGGTTTCGGGCTCATAGCCACTCGTCAGTGCAAGATAGTTGCCATCATCCACCTGAAGTCAATGATATTCTATAATTGAAAATCGGAATACTTTCAGAGTATTTCATTCCTCTTCCTAAGTTGGAGCGAAAAACAAAATGTCACTCCATCTAGTGGACGAGTTGTATTGCCAATTGCATATGCAGGAAATTTTCTGTGAAGATTCCTGCGCTGACGCCTGTCGGCTATAATCTTACGCCCTTCGTGGTATTAGCCAGGGGAGTAGTTGTTTTCTGATAGGCGTCAGTCCATTCAACCTACTGTGTAGGTATATCCGAGACTGACTTGAACGTTTAAACTTCATTTCTTTAGATTTGTTTACTGTCAGTATTCAAGCATAGCCTGCTGACTAATGAGAACGTTTTTCTTCCTTATTCAGAGGAATCGGGCAATTTCGGATATGCACTTGGTTAGTACCTCGTTCATCAGATGGAGTGACATTTTGCTGTTGGCTTCAACTTAGGAAGAGGAATGAAATACTCTGGAAGAATTCAGATTTTCAATTATGGAATATCATTGACTTCAGGTCGATGATGACCACTATCTTGCACTAACGAGTCGCTAATGAGCCCGAAACCGGTCTGCAAATGTGCCCGTGTTCCAAAATTGGGGTCGACTCTTTTAGTCGTATTGCCAATTGCATATGCAGGAAATTTTCTGTGGAGATTCCTGTACTGACGCCTGTCGGATATAATCCAACACCCTTCGTGGTATTAGCCAGGGGAGTAGTTGTTTTCTGATAGGTGTCAGTCCATTTAACCTACTGTGTAGGTATATCCGAGACTGGCTTGAACGTTTAAACTTCATTTCTTTAGATTTGTTTACTGCCAGTCTTCAAGCATAGCCGACTGACTAATAAGAAACTTGAAGAGTTCGAAAAATTTTGCTGCTCCAGGCCCGGATGACCTAATCATTCGTTATTTTACCCCATAATGGATATTTATCAATTTTAAAAAACTGCAATCAATTAACATGTTCAAACCCGTATATCGTATACAGTCGAATGGTGTCCGCAAACATTGTGTATTCGAACATATATATCGATACTTATGCCTCTGGAGAGCTCACTTCACCATAACATCTATTCAAGCTGAAGCCAAATCTTCAACTCCATGCAAGGGTGATTCCCTCAGCGTCCTCGATTTCGCCATCTCATTAGTACCAATAACTGTTCAAAAATATTCATAGATATAACTGCGGCACCTCTGAACATCGCAGTCATCAGGGATAGATTTTCATCAACCATTGAAGATGCTGAAGGAGTATACCCGTGCTATTAGTATGGAATTCGGGATAGACAAATGTGGAATGATCCATCTCAGAGTGGACGATGATTGAGAAACGCGTCTCCATAGAAGTTTGTTTCCCTAAGAGGCATACGAAATCGTCCGGTTCACGGTATCCTTCATCCGACAACAGGAAGACCACGGTCTTTCGAGTTTGGAAGGTCTTTCTATCACACATGGTCCATGACCATGACAAATCTGGAATTGAAACATTCATTTCTGAAGCAGTAGCCCGAGTTGTCAATGAACTAAACTCAGTTTTCGAAAGATGATGAGAGGTCATTACCGAGATAGAAACCGTTCAAGCAGAAATTCCTCATTCAAACAGCGGTGATCAATTCACTCATGCAGCTAAATGAAGGTAAACGAATGCGTGGAGTTTCCTTCAATAAACATCATAAGACCCCGGCTTTTTCTAGTGACTCATATTTGGTTTTCTTGAGTCAAATTGGCAAATGGTAGAACGAATGGTTCATCAGCCTGCCAGAGTGGTGACTCAACAACTTGGTATACCGCAGATGACTGATGGTTATACAGATTAATGGCATCAGGTGAAGGAAATGACTTGAGACGCCTGACACCACTATGCAGTTGTTGTCAAAGTATCAAGTATATGCAGTCTCAGCTTACGTTTATTGTTATGCCTCGATTGAAGAATGTATCGTTACAATTTCCGGTACTCCTACGGTATTAACGAGACACTGGTGTTGTCCTATGCTTTCTTGATATTGAATACGTTGTGAGAAATGAGAAGTCCTGAATTCATTGAAACCATTAATTCATCTTCCTGAAAGTGAGACGATATTCGCTATGAACACGACAAAAATTTTGGTCATATATATGTCGAGGATATCATTCTTGGCATTTTCAAGAAGCATTCATTGGACGGTGTGAGGAGTGGTGGTTAATGATGGCGGCGTGTACCTCAATGTTTGGGGCTCCAGTCTTTTACATAAAAATGATAATAATAACAAAAGACTTCAATGACTTCCTATATAATTTTCTACATGACAATTATATTATTGGGTAATCGGTACCAGATGGTACTGATAATATATTTTTTCAATTTGATGTTTCTAACTGAATGTTCGTGGTTCAAACTTGCATAAAAGAAGGTGTTAACAGATTTGAAATCTGAGAAAAGATAAATAAATGGGAAAAAATACTTGGACCTAAATATTCTTGAAGTTAAAGAATGGAAGAATAAAATTATGAAAAAAAAAGGTGTTCATACTCTTGTGAGAAAATATCGTGCTATCATTTATTCAATTCAATCAGTGTGCAATGATTTGTGAGATTCTTCTTCATTTACACCTTTATTTTTCATATTCGGATACTCATTGTTTTATTAGATATTATTTTCATTTCTCACATAATTTTACTTATTCTTCATTTATTCATTCATTTTCATGTTCCAAATCTGTCAACAGCTTTTTCAGGGGTCGGAACCCCTAACATCAAATCATTTTCCCCCTCACCTAACACGTTACATAGATTTGACGAGAGAAAATGAAATCAATGTCTGCAACAAACTATTTCCTGAAATGTGAATAATTTTTCAGAATGTTCCCAATATCAACACCAGATTCGCGGGTTCCGGCCAGCCAGATGGTTTCCATAGTGTTTTCACATCCAGCTCAAGCCTCACGACGAACGTTGATGGAAAACCTAAAACCATAAAGCAAGCCTCCACTACTGTGAATGATAACGGCAAAATAACCACATATACAGCTAAAAATCCCTAAATGTTCATATTGCCATTGTAGTCAGTCAGTGTAAATTCATTTGAATTATAGTTATCAAATAACAAAATGTACTCATTACTTTCCTGTTATTTTATCCTTTTGGCGTTTATGCAACGATTTATGAAGAGTGTTTTTATAGAGGTATAGAACTTTAGTTGGCAACAGTTTTTTAACTGGCGGCTATTTTGTCAGCTGTCAAGTGATTTATGTTTAGTTTGTTTGGTTTGGCATTTCAACATGAATAGACTGACGCCTGAACACCGCTTCCAAATTGTGCGAATTTATTTAAAAAATCATGATTCTTTGTGTAAATGACAATTCTGAGAATAGGTTGTATCTCTTGTATTATATTGTTTTGTTATCAATTGTATTGTATCTCTTACAAAATTTACAAACATTTATGACACCCCTTGTATACTAAAAAAATATGAATTTCACTAGTTCGGACTTCCATTGCCTATTATATAAAATGATTTGAAATCCCTGAAACAAGTAAAAAAGAATAATTAAAAAGAATAGTTGAAAATAACAATTATATTAAGCAACAATAAACCTGAAATGAAATGATAGTGAAATAACCTACAAGTAAAAAATATAATAATTGAATAAATAAAAATTAAAGGAATGCAAAAAGAAAATAATAAAATAAAAAATAAAAAAGTGTAGAGATTCCAAGTCACGTTAGTTCACGACGTTTCGATTGTTGGTATCTACAATCGTCTTCTGGTGATGACTGGACTGATTCCTCCGAGAGATGACTATTTTATAGGTCGTTGAAATACTTTCACTTCCTCTACTTTCCATTTTCCGCTTCACTGATTCCGTGAGAGATGACCGATTTGGCGGGAGTTGGTCATTTTTCGTTTGATGATGGGTTTCCATATGTTTCGTATATCTACGCTGGCCTGGCTGAATACGTTGTTGGACAACATGTATGCGGCTTCCTTAAATTTTCTCCTGAACCAATGTTCCTCTCTGTGCAAGATCTCAGCTTGGGACCACTCGATGTTGTGTTGATGGGTCCAAACATGGTCTGCTATTCCTGATTTGCTGGTTTCTCCTCGCTGTGTGTGCTTCTTGTGCTCGGCAATGCGAACATTCAATGTCCTCTTAGTTTCACCAATATAGGATTTTCCGCACTCACAGGGTATCCGGTAAATGCAATTCTTGGAATCGCAGTCCTGTAACACAGCACCCGTATGCTTCGTAAGTTCCATTGATTTTTTAAAAGGTTTTATTTAGCTTACCCTGTTTGTTTTTTTGTTCATATATTTATTCATTTGGGTCAAATTCAGTATTTGAAGTTTGTCCCCTTCCTGTTGACAGATTGATCTGAACTTTGGTACACACATTTAGTTTTGATGACAATATAATTTAGTGAATTCTGTTTCATTGTTAATTTAGATTTAATGAAGAAAAGAGAAATGAAACTTTCTATGTTTTTTACCACTTTTTCAATATAAGTGGTAAAAAACAGAAAGTTTCATTTCTCTTTTCTTTATTATGATTTCCTACCACGTAGTAACGGCTACATCCATCAATTTAATTTAGATTTACCTGACATATTTTTCCACAACTACCTCAATATTACTATCAAATGACAGAGCTTGACTAGTACTATAGTAGTACACTAAAAAAAGATGCAAATCCAATATAATCTATACAAAAAACTTTGTCAACTCAGAATCGGGATACAAGCATGAATCTTCCACCCAAGTCAAGATTTTGTATCGTGTCGAGGACTGTGTGGCGTTAAGGTGGCTAAAAATGATACGTCGTTATCGATACAGCACCCAAGTTAAGGTAAAAGGTTAAAACATATCGAGAACTGTGTGGCATTACGGTGGATTAAAAATCAGAAACTGAGTAAAAAATAAATTTTTTGTTAAACAGTTTCAATTACAAATGTACTAAAAACTTAAAGATAATTCGGAAGGTCCTTAGTAGCAGTTATCACATCACTCTCCTCAGCAATCTACGGTATTGATCAGATTAAAAATAATAAAATCGTTTCAAGTATCAAACACAAGCACTACATGAAAATCCTCAAGGCGTTCTAAGAGCGGTGCCTGTGCGGAAGTAGCGATTCACGTTGGATTTGAATCGCTGGAGATTAAATTCATTTGGAAAAACATTATCAGGAAATTTATTCCACATAAACGCAGTTCTACAAATGTAATAGTTCTTAAACAGTGAGGTTCGAGGTGTACTAAGTTGAACTTCAAAACGATGAGCAGTCACAGTCCGTCGCGTAATTCTGATATGTACCGCTCTTGGTGGAATCAAATGTGCTATGTCACTTGAACACCTCCCGTGAAATTATCTATAAAAGAGTGACAAATCTCCAACATTTCTTCGATGTTCCAGGCTATCAAGGTTGCAAGTGATGTTATTGTCTCCAGTCAGGCGGATGGCTCTTCTCTGGATGGAATCCAGCAGCTCCAGGGTATGCTTAGGGGCGGAGCTCCATATATGAGAACAATACTCCAAAGAAGGTCTGATCTAAGCTTCATAAAGCATCAAAAGTTGCTGAGGTGTGTACAGTTTTCTGGTTCGGAACAGTGTTCCAAGCTTTTGAGAAGCAGCCTTCGCAATTTCAGCGACATGATTGTGCCAAAATGGTATCCATTTCAACCCCCAACAAACTTATCGAAGCAGAAAACGGAATTGTCTGTCCTGACATTATATGCGGTTCGGAGATTACTCAGGTCGAACGATTTTTATTATTTTTTCATGTGATCAATACTGTAGATTGCTCCGGAGAGTGGTGTGATGACTGCTACCTGGGCCCTTCTGAATTATTTTTAAGTTATCAGTACATTTTTCAGTAGAACCGTTGAATATATTTTTTTTACAATTCATGCTAATCGCTGTACATAAGCATGCTTCCAAGCTATAGGGAAGTAGTAACTTGAAATATTGAAATATCCATTCACATCGTAAATAGTATAAACATTTATATAATGCTATCAGAGAAAATTCAAGTTCATATTCATCTAGGACTACCTACGATTTGATATTATGTGAAAAAAGGTTGGTTGGGTCACACGATAAATTTTTTTTAAACCAATTGTTTTCTTGTCGACGTTTCGATTCAATTAAATTCTTCTTCAGGACTCGAAAAGTAATTTTTTCGTGTTGATGATATTACTATTTTAAAAAACAGCAGACATATGAGATACATATTTAAAAAAAAAATAAAAAACATTGCAACAACCAAAATGTCCGAGACAACACCAACACAAAACGACATGAAACAAACGATTTCGTTGTTTGGTGTTGTCTCGGAAATTTTAGTTGTTTGCAATGTTTTTTATTTTCTTTTGAATATGTATCTGATATGTCTGGTGGTTTTCAAAATAGGAATATTATCAACACGAAAAAACTGCTACTTTGCACGGGTAACAGAACGTATTTTTCTGTCATAGAGTCAAATCTGCTTGTCCATGAAGAAGGGCGTACATTTGAAGACAAGAAAGCTGGACGTTTACTCTTCAAGAAAGTTCTAGAGTAGTCCAGAACACTCCGGAACATTTTGGAAAATGATGGAATATTAGGTAATAATGTGAAACCTTCGTAAAAATCTGAAATGCATATATATCAGTCGATAACAAGATATTATTGGTTAGACATATTTTATCATTGATTTCCTAATTCAAATGATACCTTAAGGAAGATTTTCAAGATCCTCTGAAAGCGATTTAAATCAATGTTATTAAAACTTGTCGAATGTTCTAGAATAAACAACGATGGCATCGACCATACCAGCATATTTGTCACCTCAGCGCTTGAAATTTCAAAGCAAAAACAATAAGTCCATAAAACGATATCTTCATAAACAAAGTGCCGCTGTTTATTCTACGAGTAGAATTTATCGTGTCCGTTATTGCACGATAAGTCACTGGATAGCTTGGAAATCGAGGTTGATAAATTTATATTATGATCGCCAATATGACAACAGAATATTTACTGATTTAAGTGTCCTCAAAGTTATTGAGAAAACTCTTGTCTGAATTTGTTGGTCAACAATTTGTATTCAAAGCAGAAAAATTCCGATAACCATTAATTTGGAAATGTAATTCATTCAAATGTGGCAAATGTGGCACGAACGTACATTTACATGGCAATGGATGAATATATAAGTCGATATAAATAAAAAAATTGCGACTATTAAGAAGGATATAGCAAGGCAAAAAAAAACTCAACTATAGAAACAAATAAAGTTTCAAGCCAAAATGTATGATACGCGAAACGAAAAGAAAACAAATCAGTTATCCTTCAATACCTATGAGAGGTTTTTCATTCCAAATCCTGGAAATGTAAAAAATTCAGTGAATGAACATAGCCCATTAATATTTCATTCCACTTCTTTCTATTAATTCCCAGATTGGGTAATTCACTGATGATTATCAGTGCATGCGTTGTCCTACTTGAACCTACCAGAAAAACTTCCACCTCGGTAGTCGAAAAACTTCTACACTGAAGTATTCTTGGAGTAGTAACAGTTTTAGGCTTGTTCTGATTTACTGCGTATACTCTATTATCAGAGAGTAGTAATAAGCTGTAATAAGACCTGAAAGGATCTAGGTATAATGATTGATTGCCAAATCAAACCACCACATTAAGTACATAATAAAAAACTTCATTGTATTCTTCATAAATTCAAAAGAGTTACCAATATTCTCGACACAAAGCAAAAATTAACATTGGTAGGGTTTGGTAGAATCCCATGTAGATTATGGAATAATTGGTTGTGGTGGAGTTTCCAAAACTTACCTGAATGCTCTAGAAGTAATTCAAAAACGGTTTCTCAGATGTGTCTAAAAAAAAATTTGACTTCCCTTTTGATCTTTTATATACTCATTACCTTTTGGGAACAAGTTAATGGGACAGAAGAATTCTTGTTATTTATGACCAAAATATTCAAATCTCTGTCCCAAGATCTGCAAAATGAATCAAATTTTAGAATTTTTATTTTTCACCTTTATGCACACTTTTATCGGTAATATGTATACTCATATTCCGGTGGTTTGAATCACAAGGCCAAACGATCGATTTTCACTTCCTATCGTCCAACCTGTGTTAGGAATCACACGTTAAAAAGTAAGACATCGATAGTCCTCAGCTTGCACAAGTTTTGACTTTTGAGAGTTGTCATCTATTGGGAGACGACAGCAGATTATCGGAAAAACGGATTTTAACAGAGACAGACAGATATTGACTCTATTTTATCCATTGTATTACTCACTGTACTATCCCAAATGATGGTGAACAAATATAATTATTATCATTATTCTTATTATAAATAATATCATTATTATACCGGAGTTGTTAAGAGTGTGGTTGCCAGAGCAACTTTGGTTGGCAAGGAAGGGGGAGAACAGAACTGACAAGTATTTTTGCAAAATAATCGGAGTTTTTTTGTACAGGAACAATAGCAACGGTATATCTTTTCGCATTTACTGCTAAGAAAATTGTCTTGCTCTGACTTCAGAGATTCAATTGTTCCAACTTCTCCATTCAGTTATTTTTTTCTGATTGATTCGGCCATTACTTGATGAAGATCCATAGTAATTTTATGAACTACATCTGAAAATTTGATGTTCACAAACTTTATTTTTAAAAAATATGTCACAACATATTTCGCTATCATAGACGCGAAATAAAGTTTGTGAACATCAAATCGTGAGGTGTAGTTTGTGAAATCAGTTAGTTTTTGGATGTTTATACAACTCATCTGGTTGATCTGAACTGTTTTTTTTTCTTTCATTTCTGTACAGTCGGCTTCAATTATAGATTTGGGCATCATATATTTTTTCGAGTTCTGCGCCATGATGGCTAAGTGAATCACTTTGAGCAAGTTGGTTTTGTGTTGTCTTCAGGTAGATAGCTACTCGCCTATTTCAGAATCAAAATATATTCATGAACATTTTTTTGAGTCATTGTTATAGTGCTATTACCCTGGCAAAACCGGGCGGCACGTTAGTCAAAAATAAGGTAGCGTCGAGACCATGATCACATACCAAAGAGCGTTATTCCGATTTGCCAAATATCTGCGTCGTTGTTAGCATTTATAGCCATTTCTTACGCAGGATTGGATTAATAAAGGTAAAGTTCAAATTTTGCGTTCATGTGAGAACATAACCTTTCACGGCCGGAGTCACGATGGAAAAAAACCAAATCCCGGCGAGTTAGCCGGTGAGTTAGCGGCGAGTTAGCCGGCGAGTTAGCCGGGATTTGGTTTTTTACCGCGGCAGACATCATTAGTTTTATATGAGGTAACTGAAAGGACGAAGATTATATCTCGAGGTCTTAGCAACAACAGTCAGTCGCAGTAGCAGGCGAATCGTTTGGTACTTCAGGTTCCATTCAACCATGGCCTACCAGCACGCATTTTGTTCTCTCCAATCACGTTCAAGCCGGCCAGCTCCACCACTGAGATCTACGGCAGATCGAAATAGAGCTGAATTGAATGGGATCATAGATGTAACGATCTTGAGCTCAAGTATGATCTAGTCACTTACTTGCAGTGTAAGCTATAAAGAGAAAAAGGAAATTGACTTTTATGGTTAGAGTTTTTCATTGATTTCACTGCCAGATCCTTCGTTAGAGAAGTAATTATATTTCCTTACTCGGATTAGTTTCTGTTGAGTACAAAAGAATTTAAACCCTCCATGACTCGTCCAGTACCACTGATGAGATCTATAGCTGCAACGCTATCTGGCATAGCTGCGAAACTCTTGGGCTCTAAAATCATCTAACTACTGGTTATGTTCGAATATACATTTATTAGTTGCTAAATAACCTAATTTTCCATTTGTATATATCATCAGGATAACAAAGAAATCACTTGACACATATTAAAGTTAATTTTATTGACGTCAACAAAGAATAATATACAATACTGGAAGGTGTGTATTATTGAAAAAAATGTTAATGCATCTGCCATAAGAGTATCAATTCAAAGGAGCTAGCTTGTCATTTATTTGTGAACCTGGATCCCCTTTTTTATCCATGAATCCCAAACCTGGAGTGCCACCTGATACCCTTCTATTTGTATCAGAATACCAATTCATACCAGGTTGAACATATCCATTTTGACAAACACATTTCACATTCTGACCCTGAGGAGTGACGGAATGTATGTGAGATGATACTTGATTATACCAGGTAGAGGGATTCCAGGTGGGCCTGTTTAGCTTAAATTCAACAGGGTTAAAGTTGCTGGATTTTTTATCAGAATAAATCACCTGCGGTGGTGGATGTTCACCAAAATAGTGACTATGATGTGATGGTTCAAAATATGGTACTGTCAACTCGATACCATTTGACATATATTGGGTTTCTACCACATTACTTTGAGTGTTGTCAGAGATACCAACAGCCACGGGAGGAAGAGTCTTTATGTTAATATTAACTTGCGGGTTCATATTGAACATGTCATGGCTTTGTAGAGGAGGGATATAGCCCTCAGAATCTGTTCTTCGATTTGTTGCTAAAGGTGGAGCGATTAAGGGGTTGGTGACTGGATAGTAAGATTGGGTTTTTGGCGAGTATACGTGTTCATACATCGACCTACTTGGAGGTTTGTTGAAAGATGCTCCATTTTGATAATATACTGGTTGGTACGATTGACCATAAGTTTGTACTGTATGCTGTCTGTTCAAATCTGTTCCAACGGAAAAGTGTTTTGGTTCGTAAGATGACTGAGGTGTAAAAGTTGGAATTGGTCGATTATTGAGGCCAGGTTCATTATTATTCGTGTTATCGAAATTTGCACCCTTGTATCCAATAACAACAGGTACATCTGGAGTTTCACCAACTGAACCTGTTTTATTTTGATTTAGATCAACTTTTGTTTCGATGTGAACCAGAACATCAGTTTTCACTGTGTTCCTTGAATCGTTACTCAATTCCGTTTTGTTACATCCTCCTTCTATACATACAATTCCCAATTGATCAAAATTATCGTTGGTTTCAACTTTTGCCACTACAGCCCTATGTTTAGCTGGAAGTTCGTACGAGTTTCTTCGACCAGTCTCAGAATTTCTGAATGATGGGTGGCTTCTAGTATTACCGAAATCTAGTTTGTCGTCTATTCCAATGGAATTTGCTGAAAAAAATAAATGAAAATTATTTATTAGGATATGAAAAGTGCAACAAGAAATATAGAAGAAATGAAGATTCATTAAATTTCAGCTACCTAAGTATATTTATATTCGAGTATAAGAACGATCATAAAATGAAGGGGCATTTTTTCAAATTCTATGACACATGATGATTTTGAAAATCTGAAAATAACAAAGGGTGATTTAGGAATTTTTTGTGCAGCGGTTTTATAAAAATCGCACTAACAGAAGTGAACAGAAGAACCGAGAAGAAGACCATAGTAGCATTTACCAAGAGGACCAAAATAAAGGGCCCAGAACCTCTACAACTCGGATGTGAAGAAATACAACTATCGGGGAAGGATGAATATGTGGGAGTAATATTAAATTCCGGATTTACCTAGAACCTGGAACCAAAATTTGGATAGAATAAAAAAGAAACGGTAGACCAGGGGCTGAAACCACACTATACTGGGCGTTTGAACACGCGACAAAAAGGGTTATAAATATACTAGACACGGATTTTTTGCTCCATATATCAGCTTTGAACTTTCTGTAGGGTACCAGATCAGGAAATAGGATGATTAGATACATGCAGAATTCTGGGAAAATACACCTGGAAATGCACAGCTTTAGCCGAGTTTTTCACTTCAAGTTAATTTTTTTTTTTTTAATTAAGCACTTTCAATCGGTAAAACAATAATACGGATCATTTTTTGTCGTCAAAAGAATAGGGACAAAACATTATTTTCACCTTAACTCACTTACCTTTGATGATAGGAACTTTTGTGAGAAATAAAAATGAAGGTTATTTTTAACACTTTAAAAAAGGTTATATGAGTTCCACTCTGAAAATACATTGTTTTTTGGTTGCGTTACGTTGAAACTTTCAATTTTGGCGTTTCATAAATAGGAAACAAACTTCAAGAAGCTATTACTATTTATTTATTCATTTCGCAGCTTGGGGGCACATATCGACAAGACCAAAAATAGTGACCACTAATTTTAGGTACAGTAAATTGATAGTGTTTATGGAGAATATTACAAATAAACATTGAGTGATACTGAATGACATTAAATGATATTATTGAAATGAGAAAAAAATGAGTTCCAAGAAAAAAATTTACATACAAGTATTTTACGTATATAACATACATGTACATACAAATATCTTGAAATTTAAATTTTCGAACTTTAACGAAAGCGACGAGTTTCATACATAAGATATATTGTTGCTATACCAAAGTTAAAAATATGAAGATTTGAATTTTTTTTGATAAGTAGTTGTTGGAAAATATATCTACATCGATGTTTTGCATACATAGATTAAATTCTTTTTGAGATCTTACGAGCGGAGAGTTTGTACCAATATTTGTCCTTTTTTTCGTGTAATTGAAAAATTCCTTTCTCCGAAGGCTCCTTGATGGAATTGTAATTGTGACAGTAATTATTGCGAGTCAATTTGGTTTTTAATGATTTTAGTTGAAAATAATATGTCACCGAGAGTTCTTCTACCGGCCATCCGGAATATATTGAATTTTTTCCTGATGATGTCATAGTTGCTACCCTGTACAGGGGAATTGGTTCTGTAGCATAAGTCTATATACCACTATGTATATTTCCTCTTATGTATTCAGGATGAACAGTTAAATTGGTTTATATGGATCTTTTGGGGAAAAAACCATGTTGTTGTTCAATGACAAAATGTTTTGCTTTATATAATAAAAGATCATAAATTATGTTTTCCAAAAGTTTACCAAATATAGATAGCTTGCTGATGGGTTTTTGACATTTGATTTGTCACCCGATTTGTGGATAGGGGCGACATGAGCTATTTTGCACAATTTAGGAAATGTAAATGCGAGTGATAGATTATAGATAATTGTGAGGGGGTTTGCTCAGGTACAATGCGCAATTTTTTATAAATGATGGTGGAATATTATCTGGTCCAGGACATTTAGTAGTGTCCAGTGTGTTGACGTAATCATGTACTTGTTTTGGGTAACTTTTGTGACTTGTGTGAGAGTATTAGATAAGGATGATGAAAGAGTTTTTGGTTGAGAGTACCAGGATTCAAAAAAATCTGCAAATGAATAACACATATCACTGCCTTTGTTGGAAGAGGATTTTGTGCGTGATGCTTCGCCATAGAATTTCAGATTGTGTCGACCTTCACTTCTTGGTACTAAGAAATTGGTCTCGGGTAAAATAACCGTAATACTATCAATATTGTTGTTTAGTGATTTATGCAGGAATTTTATACCAAGGATAACTCTCCTATTACGTTATGATCGATGCCTCTCGTGGGGTATTGTCTATCAACTTTTAGACATAATATTTTAGTAACTTCCTTTGCACGCTCTCAATTGATGTTTTTTGGTAGTCGTGAACTGGATTTCTTAACACAGAGCCATACTCTAACTTAGATCTGGCATACGCAAAATATAGCAATTTTAAGGTGGCAATACTTTTGAAGTTTTTGCCATTTCTGTAAATGAATCCAAGCATCTTATTTGCATCAGCAGTCATATTCCTTATATGTGTGAATATTAATTCACTGTCGTCTGACCAATATCTTTTATCTCATATACGCGGTTGATTGTAGTATTGTTGATTGAAAACTCGTACATTAAAGTTCACTTTTTTATTGTAAATGATATTATTTTACATTTGGATACGTTCAGTTGTAGACGATTATTATTACACCAAAGTTTGATTGCATCTAATTCATGTTGTACACGTTGGTAGTCAGTAGTGTCGTCGATTTTGTTTCAGGTCGTCTGCAAATAGTAGGTTAGGAATATTCAAATAGGTTGCCAAGTCATTAATAAAGATTAAAAATAAAAGAGGTCCAAGATTAGAACCTTGTGGTACCCCAGATGTAAGTACGTACTGAGCCGATTTGCAAGATTCATATTCGACGAATTGTTTTCTGTCAACTAGATATGATTCAATTAGAGTAAGCAGTTGGTTAGAGAGTCCCAATTTTGTCAATTTGCTGAGAAGAACATAATGGAACTCTTTTTGAAAGTCTAAATAAAAAATATCGACTGTTTTTTTTTGTCCAGCAAACAGGTCATGTATTTTGTCAAAATTTGTTTTGTTGAAGTTCTTGACAGATTCAAGTGATTTTCTCAATGGTTTCAGCCTATCATACACAAATGTGATATCTAGTGAAGGGTGGTGCTGAGAGTCCTCTAGCACCAATGGGTCATCGGAATGTTCAACGGATTTAATGTAATTTACGTTTGATAAAACAAGATCTAAAAGTTTGTTGTTTCCTTTATAAGTTGCAGTTCAACATATTTCTGTTCAACATCCCGAGGCTGCAAGTATAATTCATTGTTTTTAGTGTCTGTCTTCATTTTGACCTAAATTACTATAAAAGTGATTGTATAAAGTGGTGTATTGATTCTAGTGACACCATGAACTCACAATTCTTTTTGTATTTTTATAGGCTACATTTTTACTGAAAATATTTTTTTTATACTTCGGAAAGTATTAACAATGAGAAAAAACAAAAAGTGCTCAGAATTAGTCAATCTATCCATTTCCAGATTTTCAATTAAACATTTTTCACTGCCGGAAAGGAACACCATCTATTACCGGGGTAAAAGCAACCCCGAAACAGAGAGAACGTTGAGGGTTGAGTAATACCCAATCCAATTTTTATGTGAATCGGGCTGTTTGGAAAAATTGGACTATCCTTCAATTTCTGAATGATACTGCGAAAATGTATCAGCTTCTTGAGTTTGCAATGAACCGCATTTCGGAGATTTCAAGTTATTTCAACAAGTATAGCATTCAGTGGTCGGATTAGCCACATGTTTTCGTAAATAACAAACGAGGGCAACGCCTCATCCAGTATACACGCAAATAACCCAATATCAACCAAACTGGGACAGCTAGGGATGTGGCGTGTTTCTGAACTCATGAGTGGGCTTGTTGACATGGACTGGAATATTGATTCGCTCCCCTTGTACATGACCACAGTTGAACATCATAGTTGGTGTAGAAATCATGAATCATGAAATCCGAAAGGTAGGATTGAAAACTTCAGTTGACGTCAACCAAGATGGCATCACCATGTGATGATTTCTCAAGTAAAAATAAGCCGGAAAATTCCCGGGAAAATTTGAACTCTTCGAAATGAGGCCTTTGTCGCTGTTCTCAAGCCATCCTTCATTTTTTGAGATTTTCAAAAGCATTCAAAGTTCTAGTACGGGTCGCAACAATTTCTGTGACCGTTTTTCATGGGGGTGCTGAGCGATACTAGACTTTTCTGGTCTGAGAAATCGAATATGCACCACGTCCTGTTCAAAACGAGTTGATTAGCTTTTCTAGACTATAAAACATTCTTTGTGTGTCATAATCCTCAGAGTTTATTTTATTTTCGTCGTAGTTTTCATTAGTTTGCCTTTTGGATTGCCAAACATTTGTTGTGGTAAACACGGAGTTTAACAAAATATTTGAGTCAACTTTTCTAAAGGTTCTGTCTCACCCATTGGTGTATCTTGGTTCATGGAAACTTGCTACTCTAAACTTTGATTTTTCGTTTTTTTCAATATCGAGGAATCACGTTTTTTCATCAACCTCGATTATATGTGAAGGATATCCGTTGCTTTCATTCAATGAATTCATATAATGTCCGTGAACAAGCATTTTTTTCAATCATCAGAAATGCAATATTCTTCTGATGTGCGTTTCACCAACCAAGTTAGCGTCTTCAGAAGATCTTCGGGAGAAAACAGTTTTCTTTTCAGAGATGAAGAAACAGTTTTCTTCATCTGTGGTATTTGAGAAAAGTTTTTTTTGAATCTATCTTATGCTAGAGGTTCCAGTTTTACCTCTCATTAATATATATTGGGAATCAAAGTTCCCTGCATTGTCTGTCAGTCTGTCTCAACGCGATGAACTCAAAATGAACCGTAAAGATTTTCATACGGTTTTCGCCAATGGACGGAGTGATTCAAAGGAAAATACTTTTAAAATTCAACAGAAGGTC